TGCTACCTCGCCGTGCACCGCACCATGGAAGCCGTGGCCACGGCCAGCAACGCTACCAAAATCTTCTCCCACAGCGCGCGGTCGCTGAGCTTGTACGCGTCGGTGCTCATCAAGGACGGCATGAACGCACAGAAAGGCAAAACCATCCTCGAGAAAATCATCAAGGATGAACCCAGCTTCCTGCCCGCCGTGCTCATCATGAGCGACGTCTACATTGCGGTTGGTGTTCAGTCAAACGAACTTCGTGATTCTTTTGATGCTAGTTGATTAAGTAAATAAATAATTGGTATGTTGGCTAGATAAATAATTATCTTATTTGCAATTTCTCTGTTCGTATTTCTGTAAGAATTATAAATTGGAACTGTTTTGAACTGCGGTGAACAGGAGCGACGGTACGAGAAGGCCCAGGAGCTGCTGCTGCGTCAGGCTGCCGTTAATTCTTGCTACCGCGTGCACGAGCGCCTTGCCGACGTGTACTCCAAGCAGCAGCAGCACGACCTCAGTCAGCACCACCAGACCATAGCGCAGCATTATGCAAACCAGGGGTGAGTGCTTTGGGCGTGGTGAAGCATTATGCCTGTCTCTTATACACATCTAGATGTGTATAAGAGACAGNTATTCGTACAGGTTTTCACTGAGAACACTTACATTATTATCCTATGTTCATTCTTGTGGCAGGTTGGAGCAGGTTGCCCGCGCGGGCAAACCTGCTTTCACTGTGTGCGTACCCTAACTTAGACCCATATTATTGTTTGATATAACAAAATTAGTAAACTTTTGTTCCAGGGCGACGTCGAGCTGAGCGACCTGGATGCCGTGTGGTCGGACGGCGACTTCTCTTTTACTGGACAATGAGCATAAACAATTAAGATTAAACTTAAAAAATGGTAAATATATTCGCATTTTCCACACTAATGAGCTACCCCTTTTGACGCAGCGCAAGCGTAACCATAAGGAATATTGATTACCTCTCTTCAGATGCTGACATTATAATTATGAATCATATAAGGATGCAGTGGTATGGATCCTGCCATTCATTATTATCTCATCTGTTCTCAAAAAGAATTACCAGTTCATTAATATTATTAATGAGTAGCTTATTAAAATGATTCCGAAACCAGTTTTTTACTGGCCCTCTAGCAAGCGATATTTTTATGGCTGGGGTCCTAAGGAATTGTTTGCAATAAACAGCCACCAAATTTACGTACGTTCTCTATTAAGTTATTCAACTCTGCAGTTCAATGAAATAACCTTTTGTTTAATCTTGATATTATTGATTACGTGTAAACAGGTGGAGAAATAAATTTTTATCGCGCTTTGTGAGTGCAACGCATGCTTTTTATTTGGGATAATCCACAAAACTTGCCAATGAGAAGCTAAGGCTTCGTGTAACTGCCAAGATGATAATTGTTACAGAACAAAGATATTGGTCAGCATTAACGGAACCGTACCAGACGGAGACGGTAGAACCAACACCAGGGGCCACGGCTATAAAATAAAAAAAAATGCGTTGTAACACATCATGGGACGACATTCACCCCCAACATGGTGAAGCTTGCCATCGCAGCCGCCAACAACTCTTCCGCTCGGGGTCCTGATGGCCTCACGGTTCTTCATCTCAAGCACCTCGGCCCGCGCGGCCTCCAGTTCCTCACCCATATTTTCAACATCTCCGTCTCCACAGCCTCTATCCCATCCATTTGGAAAAATTCAATAATTATTCCAATTCACAAACCCGGAAACCAGGGCTCATACCGCCCTATCTCCCTCCTCTGCCCAGCAGCCAAGATCCTTGAGCGCCTGGTGCTCCCATACATCTTGGGATCTCTCACCACCGTCCCCTCGCAACATGGTTTCAAGCCGGGAGATTCCACTGTCACCGCCCTTCTCCCGCTCGCTCTCCAGATCGCGACGGGTTTTAACTCCCGGCGACCTCCAGCCCGCACAATCGCCGCTGCAGTCGACCTCTCGAAGGCCTTCGACAGTGTCGACCACCCTCTCCTCCTAAGCATGATCGCGGCCTCGGACCTACATCATAACCTGGTCCGTTGGCTGTGCTGCTACCTTAGAGGCAGGCTGGCATTCTGCGTCTACCTCAGAACACAGTCGCCTTTCAGAGCAGTTCTCTTCGGAGTGCCCAAGGGCTCGGTCATCTCGCCGGCCCTCTTTAACCACTTCATCTCCGACATCCCAGTTCCGAACCCCAACACTGCCTCATGTGCGGACGATCTTACCATCTTCGTGTCGTCCCCGAGTCTCGACGCTGCTGAGGCTGAGCTCGCTGTGCTTCTTCGGAACATCTCGGATTGGTCGTCGGCCAAGAAACTGGGCGTGGCTCCTGGTAAATCCTCGGTTAGCTCTTCACCCCCAGACACCCTCCAATCTCGATCCCACCCTGCTGCCACTATCTGCAACGGCGTCATCCCCCTGGATAAAACCCCTAAAATCCTGGGCGTCACCTGGGATACGCACTNCATGTGGAACAGCCTCCCTGATAGCATCGTTGACGCTCCGAATATGAACATCTTCAAAAACAGACCAGACGAAGCTATGCAGGAGCATATGTTCAGTCTTAAAATGCATAGCAAATTACGGACCAGGCAATAAGTCCAGCAGCTATCTCAATCAATCGTCAGTATGGAAAGATCGGGTTCCAAAGGCCAGATCCCATGTGAATCAAGTCACTAAAAGTACAAGAATGGGCAACAGGCCATGGGCCTATTTCTTCAGGCCATGGGCCGATTTCTTCAGTGCCGACACTTAGAATAGAATATAAGTGTCGGAATTGAAGAAATAGGCCCATGGCCTGTTGCCGATTCTTGAATTTTTCGTGACTTGATTCACAAGGGATCCGGCCTTTAAAACCCGATCTTTCCATAATTGACGATTTATTGAGATAGCTGCTGGACTTATTGCCTGGTACGTAATTCTATTCTATAATGCCACGGGTAGTCCTATAGCGGGAGTAAAGAACATTGTACTTGCTGTACAATGCTTAGAATGTCTGGATGTTGAAATTAATGTTTGGACAATATAAGAAATCATTAAAAGGTCGTTACTCCGTCAGCCAATCACTGACGGCATTTTAAATTCAAATCACTAATCACAGACCAGCAATAGACCATTACGAGTACTTAGGCCGTTGCGTGTACTTCGGCCCTAGGTACTTAGGCCGCTACGTGTACTAACGCCGCTACGTGCTCTTAGGCGAGTTTTGATAGAACGGTTTCCTGTCGGAGTATCGTGCACCTACTCAATAGTTTGCGTTCCACTTTTGGCCAATCAAAAATTAATGGATGGATGGTAGTTCTTTACATTATCTTATATGAGGAAGTTATTAGATCGGAATTTACACAGAACTATTCAACCTGAAATTCATTAATAAACATCATCATCATTATCGATATGTGTAAAGATGATTAAATAAAGTTAAAACAACCGAATGTGAAGAAATTCTACTGTTAAATGAGATGTATTTCTGTCTCATTTTATCAGCTGTAAAATTTGTCACAACAGAACAGAACATAATAATTATTTTATTTTTAGAAGACAAGCGGATAGGTCTGACAGTTAGGTAAAGTTTAACTCACGTATGCTATATTTATATTATTTTATATATGTATTTATATTTAAGTAAGAATCTACTCCTTTCAATCAAATACTCACCTACCGTCTTATTCCATGTTATATTTATTCCTGTACTAAAAAGTATCGATCAACGAATACGAATCAAGAAATGATAAAAATAACTTTTCCTAAAATTCGGCATTTGCCTAAGCTGAAGAAAATATGCACGAAGCCTCAATTAATAGTCTCAAAGCGAGGTGAACAATTTTGCATATTTTCGTTGCCTAGGACATAACCTTCATTATAAATGCAAATAAAAATGCATCAAACGACATTGTGACAATTTATTTGATCCATTAGCCATGCTTTTTCCACTGCCAGAGGTCAATTTTTTTAGGCAAGTCTTTTCTAATCGGGTTTCCTTGGGCCGCTGATGCAGTTTTCTATATCCATTTTCTTTCGCTTATACATTCAAGAAAAGTTGGTGGTGGCATTGTGGTATCCAGGATACGAGATATCGACGCATGATTTTTGGTGGCGGAAATACGTAATATTGACCCTGACCTCCTCACATCACTAATAGAACGATTAAACAATAATGCTAAGAACAGTTCGTTGATCTTGACGTTTGTTGTAATTCATGTATTTAGAGGTCGGCAAAAATTAGTTTTCTCATACACGTTACTGCCTGTTTTCACTCACGTACACACACGCGCACCTTGTTAAATGGAGAAAAAACTTATCAACTCTCGGTATAAATTTAATGCAAATTTTTAAACTCACTGTGGCCACTTCATCTGAATTTCCAAACTCGCGTGGTCAATTTATTACAAGCTATCTTCGTCGTCTAGCCGGCTGAGTTAAACTCATTTGTGTAAAGCCCCGAAAAATTTTGCGCAGTTTTTGAAGCTTAATGCGAGTTTAATATCTTTTCCACCGTAAATTCGATTGGGGCTAAATTCGATTTGTGGCGCCTCGCAGCGGGTAAAAGTATTCCTTTACCTTACGATGACCATAAAAATATTACATTGCCTAAAATTATATGGATTTGCAGCTATAATATATTTTGTGATGTTTGGACAGTTAAACAATTCTTTTCAAATCTGGTGCATTGAAAATTCTATATGAACATGGTGTATTTCTTTTGAGCGATAAGTAAATGAATTAAAAATGTATGTAATTTTGTTTTGTTTTTTATACGTGAATCATTTAATGAAAACGAATTCGAGAAAATATCGTAACTTCTCAAAAGGCAATAGACCCGTAAAAGTAACCGAATTTTTCCATTTAGCTACTAAATTACTTGAAACATCAGTTAATTTTAAAAAGCCTTATAATATTAGTCACCTGTAATTTGTCCTAGATTATAGTTTGAAAACCCGAACGTCAAATACTTCCCTCACTTGTTTTATTCCTGACCTTAATTGGGTGCCATTTCATCTGGAAATGTCCTCAAAATTTCACTCCGGGGAGCAGGAAATTCAATCCGTAGTGTCCTTGTTCCAGCAATCGCTTGTCATTAAATCCAGTTGCAGGCCCGGCTGCTACGCAAAGTCCACAGGATTTACAATCATTATTGTAGCAACAAATGGTTCGTGTTAATCCTGTTGCAGGAATGACTGCTAACGTAAGTGCACGAATTTACATCATTATTGTTGCAGCAAAAAGTTTTGCTCAGAAATTGGAATATTTTTCGAGTTGACGGACAAGATACGATATTCTTGAATATCTTACCTATTGGCAAAGGATATTATTTCTCGGCTGGTGTCTGTAAATTGAAATGTAAAGAATATTATAACGATTTACAATTTACATCATAGAAGAAAAGAAATGAGCTGCATAACAAGGGCCTACGTTTTTTTTTTCAAAAAATGCAACTCTACCCGACAATTGAAATTCTTTTATACGAGAATGTTACTTCCAAGATTTTAACTTCTCCCATACGAAGTTATAACTTCTAAGAATTTATTTAAAGTTCACCTTCTAAGTCATCATCATTATAGTTATGTGCAATTACTCGCTCATTGTCCTGGGACCAATCGCGGAACTCAATTCTTGTCCAGACTCCCTCTGAGAAGATCGTCATAATTTTTTTTGACTGACCTCGTCGGTATGTGTTTACGTTGTCATGAATTTTTTTTTTGACTGAATGATGAGCGAGTCGTGTGAAATGAGCTCTGATATATCTATATTTACAGCAAGTTTTATGTATTCTGCACTCGCCCTGCTATGACTGTGACGAAATATTCGTGTAATTTGTGTTGCTTAAAAATTAAGTGCGGCTGACC